TCTGCCCTTAATCTTGACTCCTGTGTGCTCAGTCCACTCTTCTATTAGTGACCTCACCCTGTTCCTCAAACATTTCCAGCATGTACATCCCAGGATCTTTGTACTTGCTGTGCCTTCTGCCTGGAGTGCTCTTCCTCCAGATATCTACAAAGCTCACTGTGCTATCTCTTTCATGTCATTGCTCAAACTCCCCAGTGAGGGCTGTCAACTCCACCCTGACTCTGGAATCAGGGACTAACACCCCCCCTTCCCGCTTGACTTTCCCCGAGTCACTTAGCATAGCAGTCTAACATGATGTAAGATTAACTTGCTAATTTTGTTGACTTCAAACCACAAGTGGCCAGGCCAGGCTTCTAAGCTGTGGCTGACTTCTACCTTAGCACCTGGAGGAGGGCCTGGCATCCAGGAAGGAGGCCGCTCTGGAGAACTGGAAGACTGTATGAGTGCTCACACTTGAAAGAGAAGGGGGAAGCTATAGGCTTCCCAGGTGGCGATTTCAGTGGAAGCCCCCAGGAGGTGGGAAGCTTAGTTCTGGCATGGCTCAGTTCCACGCAATCCCTCTGTGTGGCTCATCATACTGTGGTCTTGGGTTTGGGAAGAGCCTGGAGGCCAGTCACAGAAGTGACAAGGTATGGCCACACTCTATCTTGCCCACACCTCTCCTTTCCTGGGAGCTGGTTGGAAGAAGGGCTCCCCAGAAGATGCCCTGGGTGGATTGGGCTGGGCTACTGGGGAGGGAAACTGGCATGCTGGCTCCTTCCCCGCCTCCCACTGCTATCCTTTTCCTGAAACCTGAAATAGCCCAGACAAGGAACCTGGCATCACACCACCCTGAATATCAGCTCCTCTGAGCAGTGGGGAGGCTTGGGGTGGGGACGGAGGAGTGGGTGTTTCAGGCTGGACTCCCTGTGTCTTCCTGAGTTCCAGGAGGCTTCTCTTTGGTAGGTGATGTCTTCATTTTTGCAGCCATGTGACTAGGGTCAGGTAGGTCAGGGGCTGAGCTGGCACTTGAATTTAGGTCTACTGGATGTCAAAAAGGACACTTGGACAGCTCAGTCCTCACCTCTCCTCAGCACCAGTTTGCTCTCAGCCTTGAGGAGCCAGGGACATACCCTCGGTGGGCTCAAGGGGAGCTAGGGCTCGCCTGGTAAGGCCAAACCCTGCTCGGCCCACACTTGTAAGTCTTTAGGACTTGTTCCATTCCAGAAGGGTTCTAGTCCCAGCCAGCCCTGGGCTGTGTGCAGGGAGTTGGGGTTGGCACAGGTCTGATCCTATCCTGAATGGAACAGGGATGGGTTGTGTGGTGATTATTGTAACTGCCAACTTGGCAGAACCTGAAATTACTTGAGAGATGGGCTTCTGGGCTTGCTTATCTGGGATTATCTTGATTGCATTGATTATGGTGGGAAGATCCACTCACCATGGTATCCCAGTTCCCTGGAGGAGACAGGGAGCTGAGCAGTAGCAGCACGCCTTCATTACTCTCTGCTTCTGGTTGTGACCAGCTGCTTCAAGCTCCTGCCTCTGTAACTTCCCTGCAATGGTGGACTGTAGTCTTGCTCTATGAGCCAGAACAACCCCTTTCTTCCCTAAGGTGCTGTTGTTAGGATATTTTATCACAGCAATGGAAAAGAAACAGAGATAGTGGGCTATATCTGTGACCTTATAGTCACCGGAGCTCTCCCTGCCTGGCTGCTGTCCCTGAATTGAGGCTAGAGGCCTAAGGCAGAACTGTCTGGGCTGGGCAGACAGGGCTCTAGTGTCTCCATTGGCCGAGTCCTTTCCAGTGTCCTGGATCTCTGCCCTTTCTGCCTGCTACTTTATCCCAGCCCCCTTTTTCTACTGCTTCTGGGCCTCTGTGCTATGCCTCTGCCAGCTGTCGTGACCTCAGCCCACCTCAATTGCTGGCCACCCCCGTCCTGTCGGCTTCACCTTGCTTTCCACACTGTGCCCCTCACAGCCCAGACTGGCCTTCCTGCCACTACTATCCCTTTTAGCCCCCGACCCCAGTTGCCAGCTACCCTCTCCTAACCGGGCCCCATCATATTCAGAAGGACAGCTGACTCCCTCCCCAGGTCTACTGGCTGGGGCTGCCCTGTGTCTCTACCGCCTTAAGTTGGGCTCTAGTCAGGTGGGCCTTGTCTGTGTTGCCCAAACACAGGGTGCTGTTCCTTGCTCAGAGCTGTTCCCCCAAGTCATCTCTTCCCCAGAAATCCTTCTACCTCCTTCCTTTTCTTCATTCAGAGAGGCCGTCTTAGTCATCCTATCCAGGTGACAGCCCTTCCTGGCTTTCCTGGTCAGGCTCCATTCTTTGGGGCTGACTCAGGCAGGGGTACAGGTGCTGCTCATGACTTCTGCCTTCATTAGGACACAACCTTCCCAAAGGCCTCAGCTGGCTTTGTTTGAATCACTCTGAGATCCCCAGTTCTGACTGGGGGCCTAGTGCACAGTGATGCTTAGTACATATGTCATGAATGAATGAATGGATGACCCTTTTAGAGCCAAAGTTTCCACCCTGGTGACACTTCCAGGAAACACTTCTTGAATGGCCTCTCTTGGTGGTGGACAGGCTCCCTGGGCACCCCAGGCTGCCTTCTACCTCAGCATGTGGCATAAACACTAGGTCACTGGCCCTGTGCATGGGGGCAGAGTTCTGCCTTCCAGAAACGCTTAGTCTTGCTGGGATGTGGGATGTGAACCAGCAAAATTGCAGCGCAGGGTGATATGGGACAAGACAAGATACAGGCAAGGAGCAAGGGAGGCCAAAGGGTCCTGGAACAGAAAGGGGAGGGCAGGGACCCTTCTAGAGAATCACCCTGGCCTCCCAGCTCCCCTGGCTTCACAGAGTGACAGGAGCAATGGCTTACAGCTTTCTGAAACTGTGTGGTCAGATGAGGACTACAGCTCAGGGACAGCACACTGTGCTGGGTAGGCTGAGATGTGGATGCTTTGGTGAATGGACTCTCACAGGAAGTGCCACTAAGAAGCCTGTGTCTTTCCTTTATTTCACAAGTGACATCTAGTCAATACCAGGCATGGTGGCACATGTGATCCTATCACTGGGGAGGCGGAGAAAGCAGGATCAGAACTTTGAGGTCATCCTTGACTATATGAGGTTAAAGTCAGCCTGAGCTACCAGACACCCTGTTAAAAACAAACCAAAGGCTTTATTCCATGGCTTCATGTGTCTGTGGCTGGGAAGGAGCCAGAGCAGCCTAAAAGAGTCACTGTAGTACCCTTTGCATAAAGTATTGCTGATTTCTGTTAGAGACACTCTAGAAACCTTGCAGGGTTCTATCAACCTAAATTGGATCTTGGGACCCCCGTTGCCGGTACAGGTTCCAGCCTCTGTGCAGGAAGATGATCCAACACTCCAGGTTCTCTCTTTTACCTGAAGGAGACTGAGGCAGTGTGGCAGGGAGTGCCCCTGAGGAATCCTGTATCTTTTTTTTTATTTCACAAGTGGCATTTATTGAGCAACTACTGTATTCTGGGTAGTACTGAACAGACAAACTGCCTGCCCAAAGTGCTGCCTGGCTGGCTGATGAAGTGTCATACCCTCACCATACTTGGCCAGGTGAGACCTGGGGCCCAGGTGTTTGACTCCTGGTGTAGGGCTCAGCTTTGCCCTTCCACCTCTGGGTCCAGGCCTCAATTTTGTCATATTGCTTCTCCTGAGACCAGCTGTCTCTAAGTGCCCTGCCCAGCAGGTCTGCTCTTACTGGGGACAACAGAGACTGGCTTGTCCATTCTGGCCTGCCTAGTGATGAGCATGGGGTTCAGCATACAGCAGGTGCTCAATCCTTGTTACAGGACACAGGAACAGGTAATGACAGACAACCAAACAGCCCCTTGAGAATTCCACTTAAGAGCAATGTCTTGAGGGAATTCAGAAAAAGAAATGATGACACTCTATGACATTTTTCGTCTTTTAAAAAAGAATCTATGAATTAATTGCATCCTGTTTCCTTCCTCTCCCTTTCTGCCTCCCAGCCAGTTTCACTTTGCATGGGCTTTTCAGGAAAACCAGATCCCAGGCCGACCTGGGATCTGTTGTCTTTGATGTGAGGAGTGATGATTGAAAGAAACGGGCGATTTGTGTAATGAAATGCCTTCTCCATTTTTTCATAAACAGGTCTGGGGTGATGCTAACCAGGCTGCTGTTCGGGAGGGGAGGAGGAGAGATGCCCAGGAGCAGAGGCGGGCAGCAGAGGTAGGATTGCAGCTCCTGGGCCGCTGCAAGCAAACCTCTCCAGCAAGAGCCACCTGAGAGCCTTCAGCTCGGCTGTCCCAGGTGTCAAGGACCCTCAGCTCCTCTCTGGGAAATCCCTGTCGATAACTAACAAGGTAGCCGTGTTAGTTTCTGCTGATGCTTGAGAAATTCCCGTGGGGCTTCAAAAATGCTTTCTGTTCATAATATGTCTCAGGTGGATATTTAGATCACAGCAGTTACACCAGGATTTAACTTGGATTTGACTTGTGGGGGAAGAAAAAAAAAATCCTTTTTCTCTCCAGTAGAACTTCCACCCTGGCACTGCTACTACATGCTGGATCTCTTCATTCCATTATTTAGGAAATATTTTCTGGATTCTTATTCTGTGCCACACTCATTGGGCCAGGAAGAGAAGGGTGGACTGGAAGGGAGAGTTCCTGCCCCGAAGAATTGGGGGATGATACCTAGCAGACAAGAAACCCTTAGCAATGATAAAGGACTGTGCCTGGGAACCTATGTGAGAGGTAGGAGGACTTCCTGGAGGAGGTGGTGTTTCCATAAAGACCTAGGGAGTGAGGAGGAGCTTGTCAGTCAAGAGGGGAAGAGAGGGGAGAGGGAACCACAGTGACCGAGGGTTTGCCCCCCTCAAAGGAGGAAAGGAGCTAGGTACAGCCTTTTCGTGTTCTTTGCTGTTACTGGGGCTCTGAAGAGGCCCGATCTTTGGTTCTCAGAAGGATCAGACTGAAGGACCCATCAGCTGGAGGGAGATAAAACTTGTATGACTCACGGAGGAAATACTCTGCAGTGTCGGCTTCATAGTCTGCGTCCTCTGGGAAGTGATCTATTTGCTTGCACAGACCTTTGAAGTTCCCTGCAAGACAAGGCAGAAGGAGTGATGAGCTGGGGTGGTTCATGTGGCTTGGGACCCACCTGCCCTATCCCCGACCTCGCACTCTTCCAAGGCTCACTTGGGCCTTTTCGTCACCCCCAGGGACAGGAGCACTTTGTCCGGACATCTGCCTGCTAGATCAAAACACACACAGTGCAGTCCTGAGCACAGATCTGAGGCTCAGACATCAAAACCCTGCCTGTCGTCCCTGCATTGCCTTCTGAGGATTAGCTGGAGCCCAGGTTTGATTTTGGGCTGAGGACTGTGCTGAGAGGGCCTGAGTTGGGCTCAGAAGTCTGGCGGGGTGGCAGGGTATCCCTGGCTTGGCAGGGAGTCTCCAAGCTCTTTGCACACGAGAAAGCTGCAGATTGCTTTTCCAAGAAGGCAGACCCCAGTCTGATGCAACAGACATTCCCACAGCCTTAGAAGAGGCTGCAAGATGCATTCCCATCTGCATGGAGGAGAATTCACCATCCTAGCCCCCCAGCCCCAGCAGCTCTGAGCAGGGGGCTCGCCCTCTACCACGTTCCTTTTTGGAGTCAGGGTCTCTTTATGTAGCTCAGATTGACCTCAAATTCACTATCTTCCATAACCAACTTAGCAAATTGTTTGCTTATAGAGTCCGAAGATTCCATATCACTTGTTTTTTGAGACAACTTGAACTTCTGATGCTCTTGCCTCCATCTGCAGAGAGCTAGAATTATATATCACGTCCAGTTTATGTGGTGCTGGGGACTGAACCCAAGGCTTCATGAATGCTAGGCAAGTACTCTACCAACTGAGCTACACCCCCAGCTTGAGAGTCCAAACATTATAAAGCAGGAGCAGGATTTACTGTGTACACGGTAATGCTTTAAAATTAGTAAATGAGGGGCTGGAGAGATGGCTCAGTGGTTAAGAACACTGAGTGTTCTTGCACAAGACCTGGGTTCGATTCCCAGCACCCACATGGCAGCTAACAACTGTCTGTAACTCCAGTTCCAGGGGATCTGACAGCCTCTTCTGTCCTCTGTGGGCATTGCATGACAGGGGTGCATATACCTACATGCAGGCATACACATAAAATAAAAATAATATTTTTTTTAAGT